TTGGAAAAAAAAGAAACGTTTTCACTCATCCACACATCATGAATCAGATTCAAGAAGACGAAACAACAACAACAACCAAAACCACACAAGGACCAACACAACCAATTCCAATCCTCATTTCCTCAGTTCTTCCTACAATTTAAAAAAAAAGAATTTTACTCCAAATCCACAACCTGTCACATTGTCTTTGATTATGTGATGGAATGGCTTGTCGTCCTCGTGACAGGTGTCATTGCTCTCATTGTGTTCCATGTTCCATATCCTCAAACCTTGTACTTTCGTTTGGATGATCCACGTATTGGTTATCCCAATTTGGGAGTTCAGACAATTCCATTTAATTTGATTGTGATTGTGTTTGTGGTGAGTGTGCCGATTGGATCCTTGTTGGTGTTTCAGTTGGTGTTTATAAGGAATATTCATGATTTGCATCACATGTTATTGGGATATATTCAGTCCTTGTGTAAGTTGTATAATATTTTTGTATACATTGTTTTTGATGTGTATATATATGGAAAAATATAATATATAATAATAATATTTACAAATATATAAAATATTATTGCAAATATGGAAACTTATTTAATATCCTAATTTGAAAAACACACTTCCAGGTTTCAGCATGTTATTCATGATGTTCTTTTGGTTCTTCTATCCCGATTACCGACCAAGTTTTCTCTCCGAATGCAATCCTATTCCGTCTCGAGTTCAAGCTCTTCACAAACAACGAGCCAATCCATTCAATTCCATTACCTATTATTTACCTCAAGAGATTTGTTCACATCCGGAAAGATATTTAGGCATGAAAGTGAATATCACTCCAGCTTTCCCGAGTGGACATGCTTCGAATTTGTTTGCTGTATGGATTTATGTCTTGTTGTACTTGTTTGCGAAAACAAAGGCTGTAAGTGTTGAAAGTGCGGTTTGTGTTTGATTTCATTGTAAAATAATATTACTGAATTGATTGATGGTTGTTGTGGAATGTAAACTTTTATGGAACTCTTGTTGAATTGATGGTTGTTGTGGATGATGATGATGCATGGATGGATTGTGGAATTGTTGTTGAAACTAAATAGCTCTCCTTAATGCAAGATCGAAACAAGTACAATCATAGAAATGGTTCTCTCACAAGTACTGCTCGAAGAGGAATTCTCTTCTTTCCATTTGTGACTTTATTGATATTGGCATGTGCTGTTTGGATTGGGGTATTTTCTCGAGTGTTGGATTATCAACACACGTGGACTCAAGTTATTGTTGGAACCATTATTGGGGTGTTTTGTGGGGTTTTGGTCTACATGTACAAGTTTGGAAGTTTGTTTGGACATAATTCACACATACCATTGTATTATTATTGGAAAGAGGAGTATGAAAGTTCTTATGAAAAACCAGATGAAGAAGCTTCAAATGAAATGAACAGACGCCCTTAATGTTTTTGTATGCACACGAATCTCTTTAAATGCCAAACGGACAACAAAAACAACAATCTACTCGTTTGCACCACATTAAATTTTTTGAGCATATTAAATGAAATTGATTTGAATTGAAAAATTATTGGAATCATGTTTTATATTTCATACACAAATTGCTTACTTCTTTTCAGCCTTGTCCTTGTTTCCTTTTCCTCCTGATTTGTTGTAAATCATTGACACAACAGAAACAGGAACAGAGATATAACTGGTTTCCCATGGACTCCAAGGCCAATAAGGATACAATGAACTCGATTGCGCACCATAGATCAGATAACAGAATTGAGCACTCAAGAACTTAGACAACGCCTTATTTGGATTGTTGACTTGAACAATAAACTCTTCTCTTGAAGGTTCACTTGGAGGCTTGAGTTTGGAAAGAATTCCTGGCAATGGTGGACCTGGTAAACTGATTCTTGGCAAGCCTGGTAAACTTAGACCTGGAATCTTCAATTCAAGCAAGTTAAGACCTGGCAAGTTGTATTTACCAAGGTAACCAGCAATGGCCTTCAAAATAGCAGCGACAAGTACTGGTGGATATGGATCAAATTTGATATGAGGAACTGCAACAGAGCTCAATTGTTCAATAAGGTCAGGCAACTTGGGGAATGTCTCACCAGTGGCCAAATTCTTAACTGCAGTATTGTCAAATTCAGTCTTATTCTTGTAATTTTCCAAAGCTCCCTTCAACAAGGCCATCATGTCTTGATAGGGCAACTCCTTTGGTTGTTCAAATTCGAGAGTAGGTGTTTTACCAGATTGTTCCAAGTTGTAGACAGCATGGTTGATACTTCTGATGAGAGAACTGATGGTAATAGAACTTGGAATTTCCAAATCCATATCGTCATTGTACTGCTCCAAAATTTCACAAATTTGAAGAAGCAAATTAGTTAGCTTCATGTTAGGCAAGTTTGGAAGATCCAATTCAACAGTCTCTGAGAGTGTGTCAAACATTTCAGAAGCAACCTCCAAGGAATGGGCCACATTGGCTTGTGGAAGACCATTCACGCTGACTTGGGTATCAACCTTGTCTTTGTACAAACTGGTGGCAGCTGTTCTAAGCAAGAATCCAGGGCTGTTGAATTTTGGCAAACCAGGAATATCAACAACAGGTTCCTTTTCAGTTCCGATGGCCTTTGTAAGAACATCTTCAACAAGGAATTTCAAAATCTTGAAAACAAACTTTTGACTGCCTTTGAAATGGCCTTTTCTGTCATTCTTTCCTTCATGGATGTAATGATATTGGTATAAATCTTGAGACCATAGTTTGACAAATCCTTCATCAAGTCTTGAGCAGCGTTTGCAATAGCGCCCGCAGCACCTCCGACCACTTGAATGTTGTCTTCTCTGAGAGGGCCATATCTAGTGGAGTAAATGTTGTTATAAACATAACGGTGAGCTCTTCTCTTGATGAGTTCCTTCTTCTTGTAGTCAAAGGCAAATGTGTAAAGAGCCTTGTTGGTAATAACAGCGAGACGAGTTTGTACTTGTCCTCTAAAGTTAGTCTTGTTGATCGAGTAGGCCTTAATGACTGTCTCTGGGAATGGTGCGTCCTCGTTGTATTCTTGTTTCTCTTCGCCTTCCTCTTCTTCGTGGATAGGTTCATCTCCATCTTCGTCATCATCTTCCTTCTTTTCTTCCTTCTTATCTTTTTTATCCTTCTTTTCATCCTTCTTGTTACTCTTACACATGACTTCCTTATAGTATGTTTTCAAGCAAATTTCAACAGCTTCTTGATCGATTTCGTCCAATTGAGGGAAGCATTTTCTCTTGAGAGTTCAATGAGTGGCTTCAAGTTTCCATATCTGACTGCACTAGAGGAACAAATTTCGCGAACAGCACGAACCAAAATGTCCAATTTCTCATTATCTAGAGTTTCATTATTTTCAAAAGCTTGATCAGCCTCGTCGAGGATGCATCCATAAGCAACTGCTCGTGTTACATCGTAGCTGTAAATATAACCCCAATATTCTCTGTAAACACCTCTCATTTCCAATGTTCCATTGGTCAACATGGCATAGCTGTGCCAATATCTCTTCTCAACACCGTCATCCTCGGCATTGGAAAACACAACTCTCTTGAGAGATTTCTTCAATCGTTCATGTGTGACTGGATAATCGGACTTGGCCCATCTGAAAGCACGAGGCAATGTTTGAAGGGAGTACCAACAATCCCAACGAGCTGTTGTTGTGTTTGTTCAAATAATTTTACAAGTTAATTTTACAATGTTCCAAGTGAGCGATGAAAATGAATGTGCCAATGAAATTCAACATACCCATATTATTCAAAGCAGAGTCCATATTTCCAGCGTTTTGGAAACTTTGCCAATCAAAAACAATTTCAATATCAAAGTTTGGATCGTCGACTTCTCTCTTGATTTCCTCCTTAGTCTTGGCAATACGATCCTCCAAAACCTGCTTAAAATAGGATGCACTCACTCCGAACAAGGCGTTCAGAGTCTCACTCACATAGGAATAACTTGGAACACCGGCGGCACCCAAACCTAACTGAACAGAAATTGTCATTGCTCCATCCTTCAAAGTAATGGTTGGTTTGGTTGGATTCTCAGCTTCTTCCAGTTTTTGTTTGTGTTTCTCTGCTGTGGTTAATTCTTTTCCGACTGGTTTTGGTGGTGGAACAGCAATACATTGAAGTCTAACTTGAGCCAATTGGCGAGCAATGACTTCACGGGCATTTCCTCCATACTCTTGAATCATCGTTTGGAGAGTATCAACAATTTTACCGAGAACCAAGAATCCATTCCACGAGCACAAGACTTCGTATGAGAAAGGAAGGAGATCTTGTTGAATATTTTGTTCAAAGGTAGCCCAATCCACAACAATGGAGACATCAGTACCGAGGCATCCCTGAAGACGGATTGAAGTTGTCCAATCTGCCCTTGGGCTTCTTGAATGATGAGATCAAGTTCTGGCATTGTACTATTAAAATGTGAGGTTGCAATGGTAATTAATCAAAATTTCGGTGAGTGTTATCATTGATGATAGAGTGAAAAGGAGTCGTGTGATATGAAAATGAGAGAATTTGGTGGTCAGACCAGAGGGTTATAATCATCGTTAACGCGACAATAATCGATGTAATCATTCATGGTGGTTCAACAAGATGATGAAACATTGTTAAACCGGATAGGAAATGGGTATCATCCAAAAGGTGATGTTTCAGCCAAACAGGTATCATATAGACAGTGAAACAGGTGTACAAGGAGTAGAGGAAGAAGTAACCATGAGATCAAAACACAAGATGAGAGGAAGCGATGACAATATCATCATAGTCGTGCCAATAAAATCACAGGATCATCAGGCAAATTATAATTTTCGTTTGTTATCCAAAATGAATAGGATAGAATTAGTCGTAAAAAAGGCTTTGTTGCCCCACCAACACTACCACCAACCTCTACGTACCACTTGAATGTTTATGAAAAGTGTGTTTCGGCCACAAGGTGTTTGAGAATTTTTATTCGCTCAAAAAATATTCTTCATCCAGTTTGAATTACCATACATATGCGCCAACACTAGTGTTCCGTGGAGTTCCAGCACCAACCGGCCTATCCGCAATATTTGAGAGGTTAATTGCAGAATGGAAGACCTCTGAATTTGTGTTCAAGACATGACGTACAGAAGCAATGAGATGCAGATTCATCATGTCAGTGTTCTTGTCTCAGTACTGAAACGTTCAGCGTCAGCGCTCACTTGCCGCTACAAAGAGGAAAATAAAGCCAAACGCTCCAACCATCAACAAGATCAACAACAGGGATCCCATCAGTAAACATTGTCTTTTGAACACAAATCTCAACAGTATAAATACGTTTCCAAAAAGCATACCTA